GCTCTTTTGTGGGAACTTTTTCACTTCTATCAACTGTCACACATATAGGGACAGATTTTGCTCACTGGGTTGGAAGTTGAGATTTTGCCCTGCAGGTTCCTGGGGGGCTACAGGGCATGGAGGTGTGGGCTGTGGCTGGAGTGGCGGAAGCCCAGGTGCTGACACAATGCACACAGTCCCTCTGCTGTGAGCTGAGGGAAACTTTGGGAAAAAGGGGGAAAAGGGTGCTACCTTGTTTCTGGGGAAAAAAAAATAATGTCCCCAAGCCCTGCATCACCAAAATGTTTTGATTTCCTGAAATGAAAAATTTTCAGAATTTCTTTTCTAGAGGAAAACTGAAAGTTCTCCTCTGGATGAAATATTTGGCACATACTGTAATTTCCTATGGGACAGAAATTCTGAGTTTTAGCCAGGTCTACTGCCTTGTTCGCTTCATCTTTCAGTTTATAAGACTCTGTAATTCTTTCCTTTCTTTCTCAACCGGTATCTTTAAGATCTGTACCTTGCACAAACTCACCCTGGAAATCTATCAGCCAGATGAATGTGTCTCATACCAGGAGCCTGAATGCTTGAGTAAAATTAGTTTCTCTTTATTTCTAAACTAATCCAGAAACCAACAGTACATTGCTAAATTATGCAGATAAAAAATTGCCCAGCAATACAGTAGCAGACATTATGCCAGGCCCTTTTGTGGTAAGGTAAGACACAAAATCATCTTTCTTCTATAACTTTTATTTTCTAGTTTTGGAAAATAAAGTTCCTTTCTAGGAGAAAGGGAAATTAAAGTTATTTATTTATTATAATAAATTCCGTTATATTTATGTAAATTATTTATATCTATAAATACGTTGTAATTTTATTTCCTTATTACCCTAATTAACTTCTAAAGATTCCTTAACATTTCTCGCGTAATTCCTAGGATTTTGATTGACGAGTGGATAAGCTATCGTCACTGCGTTCCTAGCGGTGGGAAAAACCGCCTTCAAATGCAGTGCTCCCTCCTGGGGGGGGAAAAAACCCCAAACCCACAAAAAAACCCCCAACAAACGAAGCGAGACAGAAGAAAACGGGCTGCTTTGAGGGTCAGGCAGCGCAATCGCCGCTAGTTCATCAAGCTGCCTCGGGCCTAATTGCACTCCGCTTGTCCGGAGCTGCC